GTCCCCTGGTGCCACCTGAGTGTCCCGGGTCCCCTGGTGCCACCCCCGTGGGTGTCATTGTCCCTCAGTGTCCCTTAGCGCCACCTGAGTGTCCCGGGTCCCCTGCTGCCACCTCCACACCTGCCATTGTCCCCCAGTGTCCCCTCGTGCCACCCCTATGGGTGCCATTGTCCCCCAGTGTCCCCTGGTGCCCCCCCATGGGTATCATTGTCCCCCAGTGTCCCCGGTGCCCCCCCCAGTGCCCCCCATGTCCCCAAGGCCCCCGTGGGTGTCACAGGCCCCAAATGCTCGGGGGGTTTATTGGGGGCAGCACACAGACTGGGGGGCTAGAGGTGGTGACATCGTGGGCACGGCGGGGGAGGGGTGGCACTGGAGGGGGTGATGACTCTGAGGGCTCCGGGGGTCAGTCCTGTGGGGACACACGGAGGGGCACTCACAGAGTGTCTGGGGGTCCCCAGGTCCCTCCACACCCCCTGAGTGCCCACCTGGGTGCCCCTCCCCACACTGGGGTGCCCCCTCTCCCAGTGTTCCTCTCCCACCACAAACCCCACCCATCCCATCTGTGGCCCCCCGCCCGGTTCACCCCCAGTCCCACCTGTGACCCCTGAGCGAACCCCCGGTCCCACCTGTGCCCCCAATGCCCCCTGTCCCACCTGCTGCCCCCAATACCCCCTGGTCCCACCTGTGCCACCCCCAGAGCCAAAAACCCCTCAGTGTCCCCCAGTCCCACCAGTGCCCCCAGTGCCCCCTGGTCCCACCTCTGCCCCTTCCCTCAATGCCCACCTCGCCCCCGAGCCGAAGCCTCCCCGGTCCCACCTGTGCCCCCGGGCCAAAGCCCCCCTGTGCGCCCCTCAGTGCCCCCAAGTGCCACCTGCGCCCCCGGTCCGGGCCCGAAGCCGGGCAGGGTGGGCACGGGCAGGCGCTGCTCGTCCATCCGCCGGCCCTGCGAGCTCGCCACCAGCTCCAGCAGCGACGCCAGTTCCGGGGGGCGGCTGCCCCACACCCCCGCCTGCGCGGGAACACCCACAGGTCAGCTCAGATTACTGGAACCCCCACGGAACACACGGAACCCCCAGCAACCACGGAACACAAGAGCCCCGGAACACAGAGAACCCCCAGCACCCACGGAATCCCCACGGACACACTGAGCCCCCATGGCACCCACGTGTTCCCCGTGTCCTCCCCTCATCCCCGTGTCCCCCTGTAATCCCCCATGTCCCCTGTGTCCCCCCGTGTCCCATTCACACCCATGTCCCCCCGTGTCACCGTGTTCCCCTCTTGTCCCCTCATCCCCGTGTCGCTGTACCCCCACCGTGTCCCTCCTGTGTCCCCGTGTCCCCTCCCCGTACCACCCCGTATCCCGCCATGTCCCCGTGTCCCCTCCCTTGTGTCCCTCACCTTGTGTCCCCCCCCATGTCCCCCGTGTCCCTCACCCTATGTCCCGCCCGTGTCCCCCCGTGTCCCCGTGTCCGTACCCTGTGTCCCTTGTCCGTACCCTGTGTCCCCTGTGTCCCCCGTGTCCCTCACCCTGTGTCCCCCGTGTCCCCGTGTCCGTACCGTGTCCCCCCATGTCCCCCGTGTCCCCGTGTCCGTACCCTGTGTGCCCCCGTGTCCCCTGTGTCCCTGTGTCCCCCGTGTCCGTACCCTGTGTCCCCCGTGTCTCCGTGTCCGTACCCTGTGTCCCCCGTGTCCCCGTGTCCGTACCGTGTCCCCATGTCCCCCGTGTCCCCGTGTCCGTACCCTGTGTCCCCCCGAGGCTGCAGCGCTGCTCGTCCATCCGCGCTCCTGCACGGGCTGAGCAGGAGAAGAACCCCTCCTGTTCCGGGGACCCCCCCCTCGGGGAGACCCCCCTCACGTTAGGGGACCCCCTGCAGGGACACCGCGTCAGGGACCCCCAAACAGGGAACCCCCTCAGAAACAGAGACCCCCCTCCGTCAGGGGACCCCCTGCAGGGACACCGCGTCAGGGACCCCCAAACAGGGACCAACCCCCGAAACAGAGACCCCCTCGGCCGGAGACCCCCACCCAGGGATCCCCCTGCGAGGACACCCGGGTCAGGGACCCCCTCCTGTTCCAGGACCCCCCTCGGGGAGATCCCCCCTCGGCCGGGGATCCCCCTTGCAGGGGCACCGCGTCAGGGACCCCCCTCGAAACAGAGACCCTCCCCAGAGCAGGGAACCCCCTGTGGGGACACCGGGTCAGGGACCCCCTCCTGTTCGGGGACCTCCTCGGGAGACCCCCTGCGCCAGGGGACCCCCTGCGGGGACACCAGGTCAGGGACCCCTCAGAACAGGGACACCCCCTCCTGTTCCAGGGATCCCCCCGAGAGGGACACCGGGTCAGGACCTCCCCAAATAGGGACCACCCTCGAAACAGGGACCCCCGAAATAGTGACACCCCCCTAAACAGGGACCACCCCCAAACAGAGTTCCCCCTGAAATAGTGACACCCCCCGCAAAGGGACCCCCTAAACAGGATTGTCCCCAGAAATAGTGACACCTCCGAAACAGTGACTTCTCTCAAATAGGACCTCCCCGAAGAGGAACCCCTGCTCTGAGCACCCCCTTATAGCAGGGATCCTCCTCAACAGGGACACCCAAAAGGGACCCCCAAAGAGGCAACCCCCAAAGGGAACACCCCGAAAGGAACCCCAAAGAGGAACCCCAAACAGCCCCCCTCAAACGTGGGACATCCCCCCTGCAAAAGGGACCCCCACGTGGGCACTCGCAAAAGTCCCTCATCCCCCTCTGTGCTCCCCACTCACCCACTGGTGCCCCTCTGGGGTGACCGCCCCATGGTGTCCCCGGGTGCCCCCGCCGTGGTGCCCCCCACCCGTGGATGTCCCCCCCGTGGGTGCCCCCCTCACCGCCGCGCGCTCGGCTCCGTCCCCGGGGCCGCCATCGCGGGTGGGTGGGAGCGACCCCCGTGTCCCCTCTTATACCCCGCGTGAGGAGGGGACACGGGGGACACGGGGACGATGGGAGAGCGGGGGTGGCGGGGCGTGCGGGAGGGGCACCCGCGGGTGTTCGTGGGGGCTTTGGGTGCTGTGAGGTCCTGTGGGTGCTCTGTGGGATCCCCGTGGGTGCTGTGTGGTCCCTGTGGGTCCTGTGGGTGCTGTGGGTGCTCTGTGGGTCCCATGGGTACTGTGGGGTCCCCGTGGGGTTCTCGTGGGTGCTGTGGGGTCCCCACGGCCACTGTAGGGGCCCCAGGGGCTGTTGTGGGGTCCCTGTAGGGTCCCTGTGGGGTCCCGTGGGTGCTCTGTGAGGTCCCGTGGGTGCTGTGGGGTCCCCGTGGGTGCTGTGGGGTCCCCGTGGGTGCTGTGGGTGCTCTGTGGGGTCCCGTGGGTGCTGTGGGGTCCTGTGGGTTCCGTGGACACCCCCGCGTGCCTGCAGGTCCCATCCCGGGGGGATGGGTGCGTGGGCGGGGGTTGGGGAGATGAGTGCTCCTCCCCCACTCGTGTCCCCAATCCCCCTTGGCAGCCGCGAGCAATTAAGCAAATGGCGCTTAATTGCACCCACCGATCCGCCCTCCCCACCCCGCACCCACCGCCCGCGGGGAACCAGTTCGAGGGGGGACACGGGGACACGTGGGGGGACACGGGGGACACAGGGGCACAGGGGTCACGGGGACACAGGGACACGGGGACACGGGGGAACACAGGGGACACCCTGCGCCCCCACCAGTGCCCGTGGGCTGCACCGGGGGTCCAGTGTCGCCAGTGACCCTTCTGGTGTTCCCCCGTGTCCCTCAGTGCCCCTCCGGTGTCCCCCTGTCCCCCGTGTCCTAGCACCTCTGGTGTTCCCAGTGTCCCCTGGCATCCCCCAGTGTCCCCCCGCTGTCCCTCAGTGTCCCCAGTGTCCCCTCCAGTGTCCCCTCCAGTGTCCCCCAGTGTGTGTCCCTCCCAGTGTCCCCCGTGTCCCCTCAGTGTCCCCTCCCAGTTACCTCCCCAATGTCCCCCCCGTGTCCCCCCAGTGTCCCCACACAGCGTCCCTCCAGTGTCCCCGGGGACAGCAGGGCCAGGTCTGGCTCAGGGTGTCTGTCCCGCCGTGTCCCCAAACCCTGTCCTTGTCCCTGTCCCCTGTCCCTGTCCCCTGTCCTTGTCCCTGTCCCCTCTCCCTGTCCCCTGTCCTTGTCCCCTGTCCTTGTCCCTGTTCCTGTCTCCTGTCCCCACCCGTGTCCCTGTCCCCAGGTCCCGAGCCCCCCCATCCCAGCATACAGTGCCACTCCCTGGTGTCCCCATGTCCCCCCATGTCCCCCTATGTCCCCCCATGTCCCCCATGTCCCCCATGTCCCCCATGTCCCTCATGTCCCCTGCCCCCCCACATGTCCCCTGGTGTCCCCCTGGGACACAGAGGGAACAGAGGAGACAGGGGGACACCAGTGATACGGGGGGGACATAGAGGGACAGGGGACTTCAGTGACACACAGGGGGTGCGCGGGTGACACCATTGACACGAGGGGGACACAGGGGGGACGCGGGTGACACCAGTGACACGAGTGGGACACAGGGGGGACCCAGGTGACACCAGTGACACGGGGGGGACACGGAGGGGACAGAGGGATGGGTTGACACCAGTGACACGGAGGGGGACAGAGGGACACAGGGGGTCAGGGTGTCGTGGGGTCCCAGTGCCCCCCAGGGGTGTCCCCTGTCGCCGGTGTCCCCTCGCTGTCGTCCCCCGTTCCCGGTGCCCCCCCGTGTCCCCCTCACTCTGCGGGGGCGGGAGGGTCACCTGGACCCCCGGACCCCCCCTTGCCCCGTGATGACGTCATTGGGGATCAGGCCCCGCCCCTCCCCCACCCCAGATGGCGGCCCAGGTGTTCCGAGGGGGAGAGGCGCGGGGGGCATGGACACCCCTCCCCCTCTCGTGTCACCAGATGTCCCCCGTGTCCCCCGTGTCCTCTGGGGGGCGTGGCCACAGGGAGGGCGTGGTCGGGGTGGGCGTGGCCTCCAGGGCAAGCCCCGCCTCCCGCACAGGCCCCGCCCCCTTCGCTTTACGGCCGCTTCACGACGCGGGAGCGGGGGCAGGTCCGTCCGGGGGGTTTGGGGGGTTTTGGGGGTCTCGGGGGGTTGGGCATGGTCAGATCCCTCCCCTCTCCCTCCCTCTACAGGCACCCCCAGCCCGGTGGGATCGTCGTGTCCTTCCCCCTTCTCCCCTCCTCCCGCCATGGGCGAGTGCCGCCCCCTTCCCCCTCTCCCCAAATGCTGCTGCGACCCCCTCAGGACCCCCAGGCCGCTCCAGCCCCTCCCGCTCCTCTCATCCCCAGCTCCCCGGGGGTGCCCATCCCCCTCAGGGCCCCCCCAGTCTCTCCCTGTATCCCTCCCTGTAAGCCCCTGTAACCCCCCTATAACCCCCTATAACCCCCTGTAACCCCCTGTAACCCCCTATAACCCCTGTAACCCCCTGTAACCCCCTGTAACCCCCCTGTAACCCCTCTGTAACCCCCTATAACTCCCTGTAACCCCTGTAACCCACCTATAACCCTCCCTGTAACCCCCATAACCCTCCTATAACCCCCTGTAACCCCCTGTAACCCCTATAGCCCCTGTAACCCTCCTGTAACCCCCTGTAACCCCTGTAACCCCCTGTAACCCTCCTGTAACCCTCCTGTAACCCCCTGTAACCCCCTATAACCCCCTGTAACCCTCCTATAACCCCCTGTAACCCCTCCTGTAACACCCCTATAACCCCCTGTAACCCCTATAACCTCCTGTAACCCCCGTAACCCCCTGTAACCCCCTGTAACCCCCTGTAACCCCCTGTAAACCCCTGTAACCCTCCTGTAACCCTCCCTGTAACCCCCATAGCCCACCCTGTAACCCCCATAACCCCCTGTGACCCCCTATAACCCTCCCTGTAACCCTCCCTGTAACCCTCCTGTAACCCCCTCCTGTAACCCCCTTATAATCCTCCCTGTAACCCTCTCTATAACCCCCTGTAACCCCCTGTGACCCCCTGACCCTGCCAGACCCCTGACCCTGCCAGACCCCCTAGCCCTGCCAGACCCCCTGACCCCCATTTCCCCCACCCAGGACAGGATGAGCACCCGTTTCACCCCTGGGGTGAAAGGAGCGGGTGCTGGGCCGGCCGCGCTCGGAGCTGTCCCTGTGACCCCCCTGTGACCCCCTGTGACACTCCTGTGACTCCTGCTGACCCCTGTGACCCCCTGGCCCTGCCAGACCCCCTGCTGACCCTGTGACCCCCCTGACCCTTCCAGACCCCCCTAACCCCCATTTTACACCCCCAGAGCAGGATGGACACCCATTTCACCGCTGGGGGAATCCCTGATGCTGGAGCGGGTGCTGGGCTGTCCACGCTCGGAGCTGTCATTGTGACCCCCCTGTGACCCCCCTGACCCTGCCAGATCTCCCTGTGACCCCACACTAACCCTGCCAGACCCCCCTAAACCCCATTTTTTCCCATTTCCCTCCCCCAGGCAGGATGGACGCCCATTTCACCCATGGCAAGTCCCCGGTGCTGGAGCGGGCACTGGGCCGGCTGTCCCTGTGACCCCCCTGTGACCTCCCAGTGACCCCCCCTAACCCTTCCAGACCCCCCTGACCCTTCCAGACCCCCTAACCCCATTTTCTCCCCCCAGGCAGGATGGACTCCCGTTTCACCCGCGACAAGTCCCCTGTTCTGGAGCGGGCGCTGGGCTGGCTGCGCTCGGAGCTGTCCCTGTGACCCTCTTGTGACCCTCTTGTGACCCCCCTGACCCTTCCAGACCCCCCTAACCCCATTTTTCCCATTTTTCTCCCGCCAGGCAGGATGGACGCCCGTTTCACCCGCGGCAAGTCCCCCGTTCTGGAGCGGGCTCTGGGCCGGCCGTGCTCGGAGCTGTCCCTGTGACCCCCCCGTGACCCCCTCTGTGACCTCCCTGTGACCCCCCTTGACCCTTCCAGACCCCCCTAACCCCATTTTTCCCATTTTTCTCCCTCCCAGGGCAGGATGGACTCCCGTTTCACCCGCGGCAAGTCCCCCGTTCTGGAGCGGGCGCTGGGCCGGCCGCGCTCGGAGCTGTCGCTGGCGGCCTTCGCGCTGCTCTTCTCGGAGCTGGTTCAGTACTGCCAGCGCCGCGTGGCCTCGGTGGCCGAGCTGCAGGCCCGGCTGGCCCGGCTGGGCCACCACGTGGGGCTGCGGGCGCTGGACGCGCTGGTGGCGCGGGAGCGGCCGGGGCGGCGCGAGACGAAGGTGCTGGGGGTGCTGCTGTTCGTGAAGGGGCCGCTGTGGCGGGCGCTGTTCGGCCGCGAGGCCGACAAGCTGGAGCAGGCCAACGACGACGACAGGACCTTCTACGTGATCGAGCGGGAGCCGCTGGTGAACACGTTCGTGTCGGTGCCGCGCGAGAACAGCTCGCTCAACTGCGCCGCCTTCGCCGCGGGGCTGCTCGAGGCCGTGCTGGGCGCCAGCGGCTTCCCCGCCCGCGTCAGCGCCCACTGGCACAAGGGCACCACCCTCATGATCAAGTTCGACGAGGCCGTCATCGCCCGCGACAAGAGCCTGGAGGGGCGCTGAGGGGCCGGGGGGATGTCATTGTCATCGTTATTGTCATCAACGTCATCATCGTCATCGTCCATGACAAGAGCCTGGAGGGGCGCTGAGGGGCCGGGGGGTGTCATTGTCATCGTTATTGTCACCATCATCAACATTGTCATTGTCCATGACAAGAGCCTGGAGGGGCGCTGAGGGGTGGCCCGGGGGTCGGGGGCGTGGGTGGGGTAGGGTGAGGGCAGGGGGGGATGTTATTGTTGTTGTCACCGTCGTTGTCATCATCATCAACGTTATCAACATTATCTTTGTCATCAACATCATCATTGTCTGTGACAAGGCCCCTGTGCCCTGGGGCGGTGTGGGGTGAGGGTTGGGAGGGACGTTATTGTCATTGTTATCATCATCCTTATTGTCATCATCATCATCATTTGTCATCATCATCATCGTCATCACCGTCTATGACAAGGCCCAGTAGGGCCACCATTGGCCCTGACCAGAGCCTGGAGGGGCCCTGAGGGGTGTCCTGACGTCCATCCCAGCCTTGTGCCACGGCCTCGTCCGTGACAAGGGCCGGGAGGGACGTCATCATCGTCATCGTCACCATCATCATCATCAACGTCATCATCGTCATCCTCATCCTCACCCTCCCCTGGGCCTGAGGGACATCCTCACCCCTGGCAGGAGCCCTGAGGGGTGTCCTGACGTCCCTCAAGGGCCTCGTGCTGTGTCCTTGCACTCCAGGAGGCTCTGGAGTGACGTCACCAGGTGTGACGTCATCTGTGTGACATCATCTGTGTGACATCACCAGGCGTGATGTCACTGGGTATGACGAGGACCGAGGGGGACGAGGGGCTGGAGGGACATCCCGACCCCCCTCGTGGCTTTGTGTCGTGTCCCTGTGTGGGACAAGGGACGTGGGGATGGGGGGGGGACCCAGCTTGGACCCTCCCCCCGTCCCTTGTCCCCCCGATGACCCTTGGGGACATTGGAGCTGCTTCAGGTTCCTGTCCCCTGTCCCTTGTCTTCCCTGATGGCCCTTGGGGACATTGGAGCTGGTTCAGGTCCCCCCCTCTGTGTCCCTTGTTCCCCCCTGATGGCCCTTGGGGACATCAGAGCTGGTTGGGTCCCTCCCCAGTGTCCCCTGTCCTCCCTTGGGGACACTGGAGCCCGTCTGGGTCCCTCAGCCCTGTCCCTCATCCCTGCTGGTGTCCCCTGCTGTCCCCTGGGGTCACCGGGGTCCCCTCGTGTCCCCCCCCGGCCCTGCTGGTGTCCCCTGCTGTCCCCTGGGGTCACTGGGTCCCCTCGTGTCCCCCCTGGCCCTGCTGGTGTCCCCCAGGCTGGTTTGTGTCCCCCAGCTCTGTCCTTGCCCTTGGTGGCCCTTGGGGACACTCCTGTCACCATAAACTGTCCCTTGTCCCCTCTGGTGGCTTTGGCTCTTCTTGGGGGGGGGAGGAATTTGGGGACATCCCAGGGAGGGGCTTTGGGTCCCCAAGGTGTCCCCTGTCCCTGCTGGGCCCCCCTGGGGACAGCTGCCACCCCCTGGGTGGGGACATCGCCCTCCCCTTGGGGACAGTGGGTGGCTCTGTTGGGGACACTTGGTGTCCCCCCCCCGATGGCCCTTGTGCCCCCCTGGGGACACTGGGGGGTCGTTGGGGACACTCCGGGGGGGTCCCCCTGAGGCCACAGGTGTCACCCCCCCCGTGTCCCCCCCGAGGTGCCACTGCTGTCCCCAAAGGGGGAGGGGGGCCGTGGGGACATTGGGGGGGTGCAGGGGGTCCTGGGGGATTTCGGGGGCCCAGGGGTTGGGGGAGGGTTTAGGGGTGCGAGGGGGTTTGTGGGGGAGGGTCCCAAGAGGGGTCTGGGGGTGGGATGGGGTTGGGGAGGAGTTTGGGGGTGGGGGGACGTTGGTTGGGGGTGAGGGGAAGATTTGGGGGATCAGGGGAGGATTTTTGGGGTGCGGGGAGGGGTCCTGGGGGAGTCCCAGCAGGGATTTGTGGGTTCTCAAGGAGGGTCCGGGGGTGGGATGGGGTTGGGGAGGAAGTTTGGGGATGAGGGGAAGATTTGGGGGCTCAGGGGAGGATTTTGGGGTGCAGGGGAGGGGTCTGGGGTGGTCCCAGCGGGATTTGGGGGCTCTCAAGGAGGGTCCGGGGGTGGGATGGGGTTGGGGAGGAGTTCGGGGGTGGTGGAGGGTGTTGATTGGGGGTGAGGGGAAGATCTGGGGGATCGGGGGAGGGTTTTGGGGTGCGGGAGGGAAGGTTGGCAGAGGCGGTTCCCGGAAGGTTCCCGGGGGTCAGGGGACCCCAAACCCCAGAACCCCCCAGTCCTCCCCGCGGTCCTCCCCGCCGCCAGGGGGCACCGCGCTTTCGGGCCCGGGCGGGGGGCGTGTGCAGCGGTTTCCGGTTCCGGTGTTTCCGCTGCCCGGGGCCGTGTCCCGGTCCCGGCCTTTTATTCCCAATATTCCTTAAATATTCCCGATATTCCTTAAATATTCCCGATATTCCCGCCGCCATGGGCGCGCACCTGACGCGGCGCTACCTGTGGGACGCGGAGGTGGAGCCGGACCCGCTGCAGATGCCGACCTTCCCCCCCGACATGGGGATGCCCGAGCGCCGGCCCCGCAGTCCGTGAGGGGACACGGGGGACACTGAGGGGACAGGGGGGACAGGAGGGGACAGAGGGGACACAGGGGGACACTGAGGGGACAGGGGGACACTGGAGGGGACAGGGGGGACAGGAGGGGACAGGGGGACACTGAGGGGACAGGGGGCACAGGAGGGACAGGGGGGACACTGAAGGGGACAGGGGGACAGAGGGGACGGTGGTGACAGGGAGGGACACGCAGCGACAAAGGGCATGGGGGGGAACACGGGCTCGGTGCCCTTGGGGTGTCCCCGCGGTGACCCCCGTGACCTCCCCGTGGGTGTCCCATTCTGTATCCCCTCCCTGTCCCCTCCCGTGTTCGCTCCCTGTCCCCAGTGTGTCCCCGTGCCCCCCGCTGTGGCCTCCTCTCCTGTCCCCACCCCTGCCCCCCGTGTGTCGCCGTGTCCTCACTCGTGTCACCCCCTCATCAGCCCCCTTTTCCCCCGTCACCCCCCGTGTGTGTCCCCCTGTCCCCACCCTGTCGGTGTCCCCTCAGGTGCCACACCCGTGCCGGTGTCCCCGTGGTGTCCCCGCCGTGTCCCCAGAGCTGCCTGTGGGGACTGACGTGTCCCCACACGTGTCCCCCTCGGTCTCCACCCCTGTCGTGTGTCCCCTGAGCCCCCTATGGCCACCCCTCACTGTCCTGTCCCTGTCACAGCCACGGTGTCCCTGACTGTCCCTGATTGTCCCTGTCCCATCCACGGTGTCCCTGACTGTCCTGCCCCCGATCCTGACTGTCCTGTCCCTGTCCCATCCACAGTGTCCCTGACTGTCCCTGACTGTCCCTGATTGTCCCTGATTGTCCCTGATTGTCCCTGTCCCATCCATGGTGTCCCTGACTGTCCCTGACTGTCCCTGTCCCAGCCATGGTGTCCCTGACTGTCCCTATCCCTGTCACAACCACGGTGTCCCTGTCTGTCCCTGTCCCATCCACAGTGTCCCTGTCCCTGACTGTCCCTGTCTGTCACAGCCATGGTGTCCCTGTCTCTGTCCCTGTCCCTGACTGTCCCTGTCTGTCACAGCCATGGTGTCCCTGTCCCTGTCCCTGACTGTCCCTGTCCCTGTCACAGCCATGGTGGCCTCGGCGTCCCAGCTGGCTGAGGCGCGGGTGCCGCTGGAGCAGAGGGATTTCTGTGCCCATCACCTGGTGCGGCTCCTGCGCTGCCACCGCGACAACTTCCCCGTGCCCTGGGGCTGCCACCACCTGAGGCACCAATGGGACAGCTGCCAGCACGAGGAGTGAGTGTGGGACAGGGGACAGGGACAGGGGGACACTGGGACATGGGGACACACTGGGACAGCTGCCAGCACGAGGAGTGAGTGTGGGGACAGGGGACATGGGGACACACTGGGACAGCTGCCAGCACGAGGAGTGAGTGTGGGACAGGGGACAGGGACATGGGGGACACACTGGGACAGCTGCCAGCATGAGGAGTGAGTGTGGGGACATGGGGACAGGGACATGGGGGGACACTGGGACAGCTGCCAACACGAGGAGTGAGTGGGGGACAGGGACAGGGACAGGGACAGGGGACATGGGGACAGGGACAGGGGACACACTGGGACAGCTGCCAGCACGAGGAGTGAGTGGGGGACAGGGACATGGGGACAGGGACAGGGGACAGGGACATGGGGGACACACTGGGACAGCTGCCAGCACGAGGAGTGAGTGTGGGGACAGGGGACAGGGACATGGGGGACACACTGGGACAGCTGCCAGCACGAGGAGTGAGTGTGGGACAGGGGACAGGGACATGGGGACACACTGGGACAGCTGCCAGCACAAGTGAGGGGACAGGGGACATGGGGGGGACATGGAACATTGGGACTGGGGGGACATGGGGACACTGGTGGGGGGACATGGGGATAGCAGGACACAGGGCTAGGGACAGGGGGGTTGGGGACACAGCAGGGACAGGGGATGACAGTGATGGGGACACGATGGGGAACAGGGACACACAGTGGGGAGGGGGACATGGGGACATGGGGACACTGGGACAGGCAGGACACAGGGAGAGGGATGGGGACAGGAGGGACAGGGTGGGGGGTGACAGGGACATGGGGGGTGACAGGGACACGGGGGGGTGTGGGAGGCCGTTGGGGACACGGGGACACCGCAGTGCCCATCCCCCTTCCCTGTCCCTGTTCCCACGGTGGCTGTGGGGACACGTGGGGACACACCGTGACATGGTGACACACCGTGACATAGGGGGACATGGGGACACGGTGACAGCTGGTGACACGTTGTGACACAGCTCGTGATGTGTAACACGGTGACATGGGGTGACACACGGTGACACGGTGACACAATGACACACGGTGACACAGTGACACGCGGTGACGTGTGATGGTGACACGCAGTGACACGCAGTGAGGTGCAATGGCACACAGTGACACACAGCGATGTGGTGACACGCGGTGACAGTGACACGGTGACACACGATGACCCCAGGTGACACAGCGACAGAGTGACACGGTGACACACAGTGACCCGTGGTGACACAGTGACACGATGACATGCAGTGACGTGGTGACACACCCGGTGACACTGGTGGCATGTGTCCCTGTCCCAGTTGTGTGATGGGCGTGAAGGTGACGTGGTGACACCCGGTGACACAGACGGTGACACAGGTGGTGACACAGACAGTGACACAGGTGGTGACACAGTGACAAGGTGACAGGGGTGGTGACACGGCTGGTGACAGGGGAGGTGACAGGGGAAGTGACAGGGCTGTCCCCACAGTTACGTGATGCGCATGAAGGAGGTGTGGTGACACAGACAGTGATGGGTGACAGTGACAGAGGTGACAGTGACAGAAGTGACAGTGACAGGGTGACAGTGACAGGGGTGACAGTGACAGGGAGGTGACACGCACAGGGAGGTGACAGGGCTGTCCCCACAGTTACGTGATGTGCATGAAGGAGGTGTGGTGACACAGACAATGACGGGTTGGTGGCACAGTGACGGGGTGACAGTGACAGGGGAGGTGACAGGGAAGGTGACAGGAGAGGTGACACGCACAGGGAGGTGACAGGGCTGTCCCCACAGTTACGTGATGCGCATGAAGGAGTTGGGAGGTGACAGGGGTGACAGTGACAGGGGAGGTGACAGGGAAGGTGACAGGAGAGGTGACACGCACAGGGAGGTGACAGGGCTGTCCCCACAGTTACGTGATGCGCATGAAGGAGTTGTGACAGTGACAGGAGAGGTGACACGCACAGGGAGGTGACAGGGCTGTCCCCACAGTTACGTGATGCGCATGAAGGAGTTGTGGTGACACAGTGATGGGTGACAGTGACAGGGTGACAGTGACAGGGGAGGTGACAGGGAGGTGACACGCCCAGGGAGGTGACAGGGCTGTCCCCACAGTTACGTGATGCGCATGAAGGAGTTGGGAGGTGACAGGGGTGACAGTGACAGGGGAGGTGACAGGGAGGTGACACGCACAGGGAGGTGACAGGGCTGTCCCCACAGTTACGTGATGCGCATGAAGGAGTTCGAGCGCGAGCGGCGGCTCCGGCAGCGCCAGAAGCGGCTCCGGAAGCGCCAGGAGGCCACCGAGGCCACTGAGGCTGCTGAGTGACACCAGGTGACACCGAGGCCACTGAGTGACACCGAGTGACACCAGGTGACACCGAGTGACACTGAGGCCACCGACAGTGAGTGACACCGAGTGACACCGAGGCCACCGAGTGACACCAAGGCCACTGAGTGGCACTGAGTGACAGCCGCCACCCCCAGCCACGGTGACAAGGCCACCCCTGTCCAATAAAATCACCGAGTGATGCCGTGACAGCCCCTCCCTGTGCGTGGGGACATCGTGGGGACATCGTGGGGACGATGCAGTGACAACCCCCGGCCTGGGGACAGCGGGATTGTCCCCACATGACCCCCCCTCTGTGTCCCCTGGGGTGGGACAATGACAGGCCACGCGTGGGGGGAGGGAAGTGATTTATTGTCACCTGCAGGGACAGGGGACGTGGGGACAGATCCCATGGGGGGTGTGACACCACCTTGTCACCGCCACTGATGTCACCAGAGGCTGGGCCAGCCCTGGGGGTGACACTGTCACTGGGGAGGGGACACTGGGTGTGACAGTGTCACTGGGGGCGGGGCCCTGGGGGTGACACTGTCACTGGGGAGGGGACACTGGGTGTGACAGTGTGACAGTGTCACTGGGGATGGGGCCCTGGGGGTGACACTGTCACTGGGGAGGGGACAGTGTGACAGTGTCACTGGGGATGGGGCCCTGGGGGTGACACTGTCACTGGGGAAGGGACAGGGGGGCCACATCCCCCCGCCCTGCTGTGACAACGGGCTCGTGTCCCTGTCCTGGGACAGCTCAGGGTGTCCCCAGAGTTCAGGGTGTCCCCAAGGGCTGCCCGAGGTGGCACAGTGAGGAGGGGACAGTGGGGGACGGGGTGTGCTTGGGCTGTCCCCATGGGGTGGGGGGGCACACCCTGGGTGTCCCCAGGGTGTCCCCAAGGTCACAGCAGGAAGGGGACGATGGGGGATCAGAGGAGCGGATAATCCCGGAATTCCCAGAGCTGGGGGTGTCCCCAGGGTGTCACAGCAGGAAGGGGACGAGGGGGGAGGGCAGGGGGGGATAATCCCGGAATTCCTGGAGGTTGGGGATGTCCCTGGGATGTCCCCAAGGCTGTCACAGCAGGAAGGGGATGATGGGAGAGCGCAGGGGGGGATAATCCTGGAATTCCCGGAGGTTGGGGATGTCCCTGGGATGTCCCCAGGTGTCCCTGGGATGTCCCCAAGGCTGTCACAGCAGGAAGGGGATGAGGGGGGAGCGCAGGGGGGGATAATCCCGGAATTCCCGGAGGTAGCTGCGGATGCTTCCCTGGGCCCAGATCGCCATCTGCACGAAGCCCACGAGCGAGAAAAGGGCCACTGCGGGGCCACCGGGGCCACCAGGGCCACTGTCACCACCAGGCAGGGACAGCACGCCCGGGGGGCACGGGGGAGGGGACAGGGGGACCCCGGGAGGGACATCCCAGGGGGTGTAGGGGGAGGAGTTGGGGTGGGATGGGGGACATGGGAGCAACAGGGGACCCAGGAGGGGACAGGGGGACAGGGAAGGGGACAGGGATATAGGAAGAGCAGGGATCCCATGGGAACAGGGGATCTGGGGGACTGGGGGTGGGACAGGGGACCCCAGGGTGGGACAGGGGACAGGGAAGGGGACAGGAGACCCCAGGAGGACATGGACCCCTTGGGGGATGGGGGATTTGGGCAGTCCTGGGCAGGGACAGGGGACCTTGGGGTGGGACAGGGAGGGATGTGGGGGGACAGGGGACGTGGGGGCACAGGGGACCCTGGGGTGGGACAGGGGAGGGCGATGGGGGGACAGGGCACACGGGGACCCCAGGGTGGCACAGGGGACATGGGGAAGGACCCCAGAGACTCCAGAGTGTCCCCACCCCACCCGACCAAGGTGCACCCCCATCACAAATCCCCCAAAAGGGCCCCTTTCCTCCAGCCCCCCAGTGTCCCCCATGTCCTCCCAGTTTCCCCAGTGTCCCCCCATGTCCTCCCTCCCAGTGTCCCCCTCACCGGGCAGGCACTGGGTCATGATGGTGAAGCCAATCCAGGACCCGACCTGGGGAGGGGGTCACCACTGAGGGGGCTCACCGATTGAGGGGGTCACCCATTGAGGGGGAACAGGTCCCTATAGGGCTCCCTCCCCCTCCCAGTGCTGCTGCCCTCTCTCCCCAGCACAGCCATCCCCAGGGTGTCCTCCTCCCCCAGGACGGTGTCACCTCCCCAGGGGTGCCCCTCCTCCAGGCCCCACCCCAACACCCCCACCTT